ATTTACCTAATTTAAGTATTTGATATTAAATTACTGAATAAGATAGGTGGCGCGAAGCGCCACCTATCGCACTAGTTGATAATAAAGCTGGACCTAAAGGTGAAATTATACTTGGAAAACCATTTCTTCAGGTAAATATATATATATATATATATATATATATATATATTTGTTTATAAACTATTAAAGAAATTAAAACAGTAATTCGCCTAGAAATTTTTACCAATGTTGAATATTTCTGGCATAATGTATATTAACAATTATTTAATTTCTTTCTAAAGAATTTTTACATTGAAATTGACCTAAATCGCCGAAAAAAAGAACGTATACAATTTTCTAATAGAAAGAGTGCCTGCCCACGTATAATTCCGGTTGTATCGACTACAAGAATTCAAGCGCTTAAAACACATAGTACGATTAGGCAAACAATATCAAGACCGACCGAAACGGCAACAAAACCAAAACAGTCTGAAACGTTTTCAAGGCAAACAGGAAAGCAAACAGGAAAGGAAACAGGAAAACCAACAGGAAAGAATACGGTAAAGCCAACTGCAAAAAAGCCAACAAAGGTGCCAAAGCCAACAAAAAGTAACGGAAAAGGTAAAAGTAAAGGAGATAAGGGAGGAGGGGACGGAAAAGGCGGTAAAAATGGAAGTCGTATTAGTCGTCTTTTAAACTTTCTTGATAAGGCAGGGGTTGTTTTTGAAACGGCGGGTGAGATGTTGTCTGCCGCTGGTGCTATTTTAGGTGGTACATTTGGTTCAATGTTTGGTGGTCTTCTTGGCGGTAATGATGACAATAAGAATGATGGAGATGACGGTGGTGTAATGCCTCCACAACTGCCCCCTCCTCCCCATATTCAGCCTACAACTACTCTACCGCCTACCACTACTCTACCACCTACCACTACTCTACCACATACCACTACTCTACCACCTGCTACCACTACTCTACCTCCAATCCCAAGTGTTGTATTAATAGATCTACGGCCGTATCCCGTAGAATTAATCAAACTTTAACTCTTAATCTGTTTTTATAATTATTTTTGTTTCTAAAATTTTGTAATATATACATATTACTAATTAAGAATTGCTAAAAAAGATCCAATTTTTTTATTTAATTCTTAATATTCTTTACTATCATACAGTATTTTGGCATGAAATAGTAAAAAATCGCTAAAAGTGTATGTTACAAAATTTATATTGGCTTTTCTTAAACTAATTCTTGATGCGTTTATATAAAATAGTTTAAAATAAGGCAGTTGCAAAATTATTGAGAATTATTTAAAATATCGGAGATAATGATGATTGCTAGATTTTTATGCTATTCTTTGATTACAAAAATATTAATCTAATATTATTCAAAATTATTTAATGATAAATATTTCTTTTAAAACGAATCTGTAATTCTTGTAGAATATATGCATGTATGAAATTGACACCCGCTGAGATTGTAGCTTTAGATGCATAATATTGCACTTAACTACATATGCAATTATTAAATGAAAAATGATATTTATTAATAGGATAATGTTAAATATCGCAGGTTGCTATATCGCATGTTAATATGATCGACCAATTAGATCACAGGATCTTGTGTAATAAAAATGAGGAAAACTTAAGAAAAAAAGTCAAAATTTTAAATATCTCGAAATTTAATTATGTAAACTAGTCTTGGGCTTCTAATTAAAAGTTTTTAACACTTAATTTTGCATATAAATATGCCTTCTAACTC